ATATATATATATATATATATATATATATATACACACTATCCCAAAAGGATACTAGCATTTCTCCCTCCAAAAATCATCATTCTGAAAGACTCAGAATGAAAGCCTTTGCTAGAATTTTTCCTTCCAGTGTTCTAAGCCTTTCCAGAGAAATCCCTCGGCACCATGAAGGAACAAACCACAAATCTGGCAAAGATGCTACCGATTGCCACTGTTTTGGGGTTCATTCCCCTTAGGGGGGTCAGGGAGATGCCCTAGGTATCCCAGACATGATAGAAGTTCCAGGCCCTCTGCTTAACAACCCATGCAGCCATTTAACAACCAAGCTGGAAGAGCCAGGATTGCTGTCATTGAGCAAAAAAGTCATGTGGTGTCTTGCTCAATGACCAAGATTCTGGGCCCCATTGTGCTCATAAGTGGAGATTGTAGTTCAATGCAGTTTAAGTACATGAATGTTTAATTAAGCAATTAAATCTATATGCCACCCACCCCACATATGTATGTATGTCAAGATATACATTTATTCAACCATCTATTTTCATTATCTCAGTGAAAAGCAAAATGTGAAAACCTGAAATTCAGGTCTTTATTGTTTCAATAAGGATAGAAATTATGACAAAGTTCCCCTGGACAATGGAAGAACAACAATATCCTTCAATTGTTGAATATCCAAGGAAAAGGGAAAGGAAAAAGATTGTTTTCCTTAAATAAGGGATGGAGCAAATAAGGAAATAGAGGGGACTGGTTTAAGATCGTATTTTGACAAAATTACAAGTAAATAGCTTTAGATCAATGTAGTCTGTTACAATAAAAAATATCTGCCAATTATGTCTGCTGTTCAAAATTATAACACCTCCAGATAACTGCACCTGTGCAGGTAGGAAAAAGAGGCACAAGAACATGATATTGTTTGTGCTATAAATATGATGATATTTTATATTTAGCTATCGCTAGAATAATTCTTAGTTGCATCCTTTGTTCTTGCAGTAAACATACTTATCAACAAATTGTCTCTATAAAGTTTCTACTTCTAATTTCAGATGAGAAGCCTAACGCAATGTGAGACTACATCAACATCAAGTATTATTTGTCTGACAAGATCCCCAAAAGCTTTGCAGAAAATCATGAGGAAATTATTCCCTGAAGTCAGTAATTTTTGAGAGAGGCAAAATACCTGTTTAACAAAATACACATTTCTCCAATAATATTTCAGCAGCTGTCTCTTTGACAGACAAGCGCCAACCTTTACACACATCCTTTTTGGCATACTTAGAGAGGTAGCCAGCCTTATATACAGAAATATTTGCCAATATAGGAATAAATGCCAAATCTCAGAATAGAGTAAATGTGCACAATTACTATAATTACAGCCTTGACAAGAAATCCCTCATGCTTATCAGATAAATTTTTGGAATGGTTTAGAATAAATTCCATCCAACATGGGCTGTGATGGACAGAGGGCTTGTACTACGTCTTAGTAGTGAAGCAACTCATTCCTTTTCTGAGCCTACTATCTATCATGATGATGGCAAACCTTTTCGTCACTGAGTGCACAAACCACAAACACGTGTGCATGTGTGTGCATGTGCGCATGCTGGAGCAGGGGAAACCCAAAGACCAGCTGGCCGGCGGGCACATGCCTGTTTTTTGGCCATTTTTAGACTGTTTTGGTCTAAAAAGTTTTTGGGGCCATTTTCAAAAACGGCTGAAAACAGCCCAAAAAAGGCCAGGAAATGGCTCAAAAAAAATAGCCTAGTTTTTGGGCGTTTTCAGCTGTTGTCCAATGCTCTGGCACCCTTAAAGACCAGCATGCGAGCCAGAAACCAGAAGAACTGGCAATGGTGCACGTGCCCACAGAGAGGGCTCTGCATGCCACCTATAGCACATGTGCCATAGGTTCACCTTCATGGATCTATCAGCTCTACAGACTGGACTGAGAGGATACATTCAACAAAATAATGCTTCCATAATTAATGATGCTGCTCACATTGCTTCTGCCATAAGCTGCTCACAGATATTAACATGCCAATTCCTGCTTGCTTTCCACTTTCTAGTTTCAGCAGTTATTTCAAATTGAAAGATTTGCTCGCAGTGGTGATGACAGTATGGACCCAGGTTTTCCAGGGGATTTTTTTCCTTCACATTCTAAATACAATGGCTTTAATGGAGCCAGCATTCAGCAGCTGCAGGACAGCTTGCCTGACACTCCCAGGATGCAGATAATGGTACTGAAATTTTCAGGGACCAGCTGCCCATCTCACAAACATGACTCTGGGCTGATAAGAAAATCTAAAACCGTAGTAAAATAAATAAAAACTGAAGACAAGAACAAACGTGTTGCAGCAACCAAGGAAACCAGCAACCAACCTACCTAGGCTCAAGTAAATTCCCAATCCCATGCTGGGAAATAGCCAGGTCTTAACAGTTTTCTGAAAAGCCAACACAGTTCAGAGTCAGCTAAATTTCAGGTGGTATGGTACTGCAGAAGACAACACGAAAAGGCATGGTTCCTGGGTCCCATAAGATAGTACTCTCTAATATATATGGGATCCAGAGCATACTCCTCTTATCAGATCTGATAGGACATTTACAGAAATTTTAGATAGTCTAGGTATGGTATTAATATAAGGGAAATAATTTCATTTTAAAAATTAAATTTCAATATGGATATTTAAAAAAAGTAGCAAAACTGCATCTCATAGACCAGAGCATTTCCGTACAAAGTGATATCCTATTTAATAACTTAATTATCTGTTGATCAGGAAAGCTTGTTGAGTCCATGAATATTTGACTTAAGTTTAAGAAGGAAAATCTTAAGAAGTCAGAGTCTTTTCACTTTGGGTTGCTGAAAATCCTGTTGGGTTTATTTTAGAATCTGTAAAATTAGCGAAGTTCAAGCTTCAAGCATTTAGTGCCAGATGAGAGTGTTAACTTTTTTCTTTTGTAAAGCTTAACATGTGTTCGTAAGAGATGTTGCAACAATTAAGAAAAAAGCACAAGAGTCAATATAACGTTACACTCCCATTTTATAAACAAATATGTTTATAAACTCCCATACAGAATGGCAATTATGTAATGAGGAATGGAAACCTGTGGGCAGCTAGGGCAGATCTGCCTTTAACTAGTTTGGCACACCTTAACATACTATTTCATTATCCCAATATAGGGAAAGGTTCAGACTATCACATGTAGAGTAGCATTTCATGCAGACCAAAAGTATCAAGCTGAACAGCTCTACTCCTACTTCTTAAAAACCCAATTCAGTTGATATACTGTTGAACTAATTTTTAGGAATAACCTATCCATTTAGTAGGCTCATCCTGGAATATCTTCATGCAGGAACTAAGATTATTCTCTGTAACCTAAGTCAGAAAATGTGCTAGTCATTTCTATCCAGCTTCAAATTCCAAGCTCTTTTAAGAATGTCATAGACCTCATACAAAAAACAAACAAATCTATGGGATTCAGATGCAGAGTCACCTGTTGTACTTTTACTTGACTGAATTAAAGAAAAAAATTGAGTTTATGTCTCTCATTCAAGTACCCTGTTTCCCTGAAAATAAGACTTCCCCGGATAATAAGGTCAATCAGGCTTTTGAGCACATGCATTTAAATAAGCCCTCCCTGTAAATATTACAACACAGCAGCAGCCATGAGGTGACCATGCTCGCCGTCACCTGCACCTCAAAAATAATAAGACCTCCCAAAAAATAAGACCAAGCACTTATTTTGAGGATCAAAAGAAAATAATACCCTGTCTTATTTTTGGGGAAACATGGTATTTATACATAATTTTATTATAAAACGTTCCTTCTTGCCTTGCTGGCTTTCTTTCACACAAACATAGGGTTTTTAGTTATTTCTTATTTATAGTGCTGTAGTGGTTAACGCACCAGGCTAGAAACCAGGAGACTATGAATTCTACTTCTGCCTTGGGTCAGTTATTCTCTCTCAGCGCTAAAAAGGAGGCAATGGCAAATTACCTAAAAAAAAAAACCTTACCAAGGAAACTACATGGATTAATTCAAGTGATTGCCAGGAATCAACACTGACTCAGGAGCACAAAAATAATAATAATAATAATGTCTTTACTTAACACCAACTAATCATTTTAAAAATGGATGGTAGCAATCCATTTAATGAGATTATGGTAGCGATTAGGATTTATTAAACTGTTATGTGGTCTAGGTCATACTACACCACTTTATCCTGCTGATTGTGAGGAGTAAAGGAAAATAACATACCCAAATTCTTGAGTTAACCAGATCATGGGGATTGAGATATTAGCAGAACATTTTGCTAATTGAGATAAGATTCTCTAATAGAACAAGTAATCAAGATCACAGCCTAATCACACAAAGCCTTGGACTATTTACATATCCTACCTGCTCCTGTTTGAGTCCAATTAAATATATTGTAAAGAAATTGTTTCTTCCTGGCAAATACAAAAATTGACTTCTGAAATCTATTACAGCTTTTTTAACCTGAAACTCTCTAGATACATTTGGCATGACTATATATGTGGACTATACCTGAAGTCATGGAGTAGAGCCTACTAAGATAGCTCAAGTTGTATTTTAATCATCTGTCAGTACACTTCACATACTTCCAAGTTGATGGGATAAAAGCCATATAATGGTAGCTTATAAGGTAATTTCTAAACTATAAATCATAACTTGCACATAACAAAGCACAAGAGCTTAGGGTAAAAATTGGATTGTGATTGTACTTATGATGTATGGGCCAAACTAATGCTGTTCTTATCATGTTGTGTATGGCACAAGTACTACAAAGACAGGCAACACAGGTTATACTTTCCCTAACTTATTAAAAATATTATTTGGAAATCCAAATTTACTGAAGTCATGATGGGCTGCACATATAAATTATTTATGAAATAATGCTTTACCTCCCGTATAACAAAACTGACAATCACAAAATATTGTAACTCCCCCCCCCCCGTCATGTGATTGAGATCAGGGTGTTTGACAATCAATTTGCACTTACAACTAAGGGTGAAATGCTACCGGTTTGAGCCAGTTCATTTTTACATTGTGTGTGAGTCAATTGTGCAGCTTTTGGGTTATTTCTGTGTAAAGTGTGATAGTTGGTTTTTAAGCTCTCTGTGACTCTGTGAGATTCCTGATTGTTGCAGGGGCCATTTTGTGTGAAGTCCAGCTGCTTTTACATTGTGAGTCAGTTGTGCAGCCACGCCCACCGGTCACATGACCGCCAAGTCACACCCACAGAATCAATAGGGAAAATTGTTGAATTTCATCACTGCTTACAACCAGTTCCCCACTGCCACATGTTCATATGATCACCACTGGCAATTTTCTCTGCCAGAGTCCCCAAAATGGAAAAGCCAGCAAGGAAGTTTGAAAGTTGTTGCTACCTGCCAAAAGGACTCCATCTCATCTCTGCAGGCTGGTTGGAAGAGTGGCTTGCTGATGGATTTCAGCTCCGTGCGGAGTTCAAACCCTCTCAAAGAACTGCAAGCTGGAAGGTTTCAGTTCTACGAGGAACTCAAATCCTCCAGCAAGCAGCCTTTTCACTCTCTCTCTCAAAAAAAGCCTGCTAGTAGGCAGGCAGCTGCTTTGTTCTGGCTACATAACAACCTGGGATATACCGTAACTTAACAACCACAAAAGGGAGTGCCAGAATTATGGTAGTTGAATGAAGTGGCCATTTTGGCATCTTGCTTAACAACCGTTTCACTCAACAACCAAAATTCCTATCCCAGTTGTGGTCATAAGGACCTATAGTCCTTTCCTTTTCTCGTATCCTGCCTTTCATTTCTTTATTACTTACTACTTTAGGGCATTTCATGTCATGCCACTTAACCCAAAAGAAAATGTGAAGAATATTTATATGTATACATTTTAAACTGATTTAAAACAAGACTTCTGCATTTTTATTTTAAAAAAAACCAGAAGCTGAACAGATGGCATTTAACATTTTTAATCCACGGAGCAGAAAAGCTTTTAGACTTACCTACTGAGAAATATAAATTATTTTTTAGGTCATGGGCACAAATGGCACTGGATCCCGCACAATCTCTTACACCACCACAGGGATTTATTTTATAATGCACTTTATCAAGATCAAGAGCTTCCCATGTATAACTGGAAAAAAAAGGAGAGAAAGTATTATTGTTATGTTTCAACAAATTCCACAAATAACTGTTTTAACCCAAATTACTATGCTCAAATATATCTTCATCCATCCATTTTTTTCATCCGTACTGATCTGCTCCTTGTTAATACCATGTTAATGTATTAATTCTGTTAGTATTTTAATTAACATAAAGTCTATGTACACTTTAAAAGTATTAATGAAATAATATAATTTTATTATTCATAATCATCCTAATGATAAAAACAAAAAGGAGGAATCTGGAAAATTATGTTATGAAGCTAAATCCTCCAAAGCCACTGCAATTGATAGTTTGAAGCTTAAACATTCTGAGGTGTCATATATACAAGGCAAAATATTTTATTTTTAATTTTATAGTCATACAAAACTAATGTCATAGAGTTGACAGCAATTTTCTATTCTTTTACAAGAAGACATTTAAGATTCTTAAATTTGCATAAAAGTGGAGTATCTTCAGCATCTTTAAAAGTTAGTGACTAAGAAATCAGAGTTAATTCTTCCAAACTGTTAGTAATAGGATTAGAAGGTTACAGCATTTGAACTAGATAATTTACATAACAAATATTTAAACTGCATAAATTGCCAAGGTAGTAAATAAAACATTTTAGTTTTATGAAGTTTTAAAATATAAACAATTTTAAAGAACTGAGAATGCCTTGAAAGGCATTCCTAGAATTAAATACTTAATAAAGGAAATACAGCTTGGTAAAAGTGATCTTTTTTAAAAAAAACACACATTTCAAGTTTTGAGCCAATGAAAACAAAGGTAAGAATTCATTTTCCCTTCTCAATGATTAGTTATCTATTACTGAAAAAAGCATCTTAATTATGAAGAGCAAATCAGACAAAATTAGAATTTAAAACAGAGGAACACAGTAAATTGATGTCATTTGGCTAAATTCACATCATGCATTAATTATGATTGTTTAATAATGGTTTAAAAACTAGAGTAACTGAGTTCACATATAGCAAGAAAGCCATACAGATACAAACTGCATTTTGATTCACCACAAGGTACACATCATGCCATTGCAACACATCATTTTCCATCTACAGCAAGGGTAGAATCCGGAAAGGAGATCTAAATCTTCACCTAATTTCTAATTAATCAACAAAGATTTTTAAGTTCCAAGTGCTTGACAAAAAAAGAGGTATCCCTTTATTACCTTCATAGAAACAGCTACCAAACTCAAGAGGAAAAAAGAAGCAAATAATTTGCACGAAAGCACCAGTGAAAACTAATTTTAGTGCTGGTCATGTGCTCTTTTTCTTCAAATCCTTGTTTACTTTTCAGAACATAAATTTTATGCTTGGTGAATATTAGTAATTGCAATGAAAAAGCTACAAACCTAAAAATTGAACATCCTAATTTAGCATTTTAGAAAAAAAATGCATCATCTGAAGACACTAGATATTAAACATGCAAAGATCATAAAACACAAGTTTCATTTTAAAGACATTTGTCTATGATTCCTTGAGTAGACTTTTCACTAATTTTTTATATTTTAAAAAACTTTTATTACTAAGCTAACTTACAATTATGTCTGACTCCTAAATATATATAGAAGTATCAGATGATAGTGAACTGGGGGGGAAAAGTGTCAACAAACCTAGGTATAATCATTAACTAATAAACTATTACATGCCTTTATTTTAAAATGCTAATTAAGCGTGTTTTCAAGAATGTTTTTTCACTGCAAATAGTTATTGAAATGTCTTCTCAAAATATATTTCTTTAATATTGATTTAGCTGTCATATGGTTAGGCATGAACTTTCCATAATATCTGCAAATGATTCAGCTATAGGCCTAGACAGCTAACTAGATGAATCACAACCACAAAAAGTGATTCAAACATTTGAGCTAACTGCTGTGTACTATACTGTATATAAAACTTTTCTGAGCTTTGTTCCCAGTCATGTGACTGTCAGTCAACCAGGATGTCTTAAAGTACACAAAGGCAGACAGAAGCAATTGTTTAATATCACAAAATATGGTCTTTCTGTCCTCACTGAGATTACCCTTTTAACACAAATTATTCTATTTTTATAGCATGACAAGATTATAACCTATCCATAAAAGCTAAGGACATGGTCAGATAAATGGGGCTTTTTTACAGGTAGCCAACATGACCAAGATTGGGACTAGAATCCTGGTTGTTGAGCGAAGCAGTTGTTAAATAAGATGCCTACATGACCACTTTGTTTAATGACTGCAATCTCAGCTCTTTACATCCTTAAGTAGATGGAATAAAAGAACTGCCTGCCAAAGGACGAGATTGGGGAGGAACATGGACCAGTCCTGGAGTCTGGGGAAGGCTCGGGTGAGGGCTCTGTGTCGGAGGCAGACAGAGGGCCAGGGCCGTATGTCAGTTATCAGTTGCCTTTGGAGTCAAACATCAGTGAGGCAGACGAACAGCTGAGAGCCTATTCCCAGTGTGCACATGCTGAGTTGCCAGACAAAGGGAATAGCTAAAGAACAGGGGTCGACTTGGGAATAAGGCCACAGGTGGACGATGAATGGCCCCTCCCAAAGGAAATAAAAGAGGAGCATAGGGGGGGTGGCATTTGCAGGAGATAATTAGTTCACTTAATTGGCTTGTGACTCTCCAAGACTCCTTGCCAGGTTTTGCAGACATTGGCCTTTCAGCTCTCCAAGCCAGATAAGGTCTGTGACTGTAAATCCTCCCTTGAAAGATGATTCACATCATTGGATGTGAATGAGCAGCATTCACAGTAAAAAGGGGTTTTTTGTGGGGACAAGGAGTTTCCCATTCTCTCCCTGCGTTTTGTTTCTGCAGCCAGACAAAGTCAATGGGGAGGTTGGCATGGGAAATTGAAAGCTGCCAATACCTACCAAAGGATTTCCCCTCCCTTTACACATTGTCCTTATATTCCCCAGGCATTAAAGGGAGGGGAAATCCATTGGTAGGTGGTGGCATCTTTCAGCTTCCCCTGCCAACCTCCCCATTTGTCGGGCTGCAAAAACAAAGTGCAGGGAAGGAATTGGAACTCCTTTTCTGGGCTGACTTTCTTGGGAAGCCAGTAGAGAAGTTTGCGAGTGGTGATCAAATAATTATGAGGTGCTTGGCAACTGGTCTTAAGAATGAACAGGTTGCCAAGCAGCCAGATCATAATCACATGACTGGGAGGAGTGGCAAGATACTTTACAATGACTGAAAGTGCTTTACATACAATAAAGCCTTTCTTTCCAAGTTGTAACTTCAAACAGTAATTAAATGACTGATCAGGTAAGTCAAGGACTACCTGTAATTAAGTATTACTGTTTACTTATTTATTTGCAGTGCTTCTATGGCGCTTTAACAAAAATATTAAACATATTTAACTGTATTGGAACAGATATTTAATTACCCCATTTTGATCATTGTGTTACATAAAAACATATTTGTCAGGTATTCTATGAATGAGAAGTGACAATAAGTAAACTCTTGTATCTTCCAAGGGTAGATTTTAATCTCTGATCTCATACTGCTTGCCTGTAACTGTTATCCTGAGCTCGGAATGCCTTTTCAGGGTATGCATAGCCCCCCTGTCCGCTCTGTAGTTCTAATCTCAGGAGAATGTTTTCCTTGAGTTTGCCATGCAATGTTTACAAGGTACTAAAACACTTTTAAAAGTTCTCAAAACTATAAAGATTTTTTAACTTCCCTTCCTGCTCAGAACAAAGATAGGTTTGTCAAGTTTATGAAAGAAACATAACACTTTGGCAACACCACCAAGCAAAAAGCCGCGCCACCACCAGCGCAGACGCCGGCCTTTCAATCGATAACCTCGGCACTCCTCGCCTTGGCACGTGGATGGATGAGCACTGGGACGGCTTAGTAAGGTCTGGCTGGCGGTATGGAGGAGGAAGGCGCTGAGCACAAACTATGAAAGCCCGGCAGCATGGAGGCCTTCAGCCGGCTCGTGAGCACCTGAAAGTAGGGGGTCATCTTATAAACCCAGTTGTCTTATACAGCGGAATATACAGTAGTTGGTGTGAATCAGGCTTAGCATTGTGCATGAAACCAGAAGCTGAGATTTTGAAATCATACTTCAATAGCATATTTTCACCAACCACAAACAAGTTATATCACTACTGTAATTAACTCAACAGATGAAATCTTAATTTTTTTAAAGTGGTATATTTATTTCTTGCCAAATCCAATCAATTGCTTGATGATGGAAGGTTGCAGAAATTCATTTTGCTATTCTGGGGGGTAATTGTACCAGGAAGATTGATTGCCCCCCCCCCATTAATGTTATATAAATACAGAACATAAAATTTAATTTTAAAGTCATAATTACCATCTTGAAAAATCATTACATGTATTAATTAAGCAATTATTCAGTTATTACACAGCCTTCCAAGGTAGTTGAGCCAATCTATTATTGAGGCATCAATAGACAGGGTCTTATTTTCTTTTGATCCCTGAAATAAGCACTTGGTCTTATTTTGGGGGAGGTCTTATTATTATTCAGTCAAATAAGGCATGCTTAATTGAACTAAGATTTAAACGTGACATTTGTCAAATTTTTGTCACACTAGCTGAGTTTCATTTCATTGTAAATTTCATTTCAAAAAATTAAATTTGACAATCAAATATATGTTGAAATTTACATGCCATAATTACGATGGGAAAAATTGGTTATTAGTGTAAGTATAATGGCCTTTTAATTATAGGCAATTATGTGACTCATCCTCTCACTGGTGGAGCCACTTGTGGCACAACGCCACAAGGCTTGTTGTACAGTGGAGCCGCTCTCATCAAAATGCTGCAAGGTTCATTGGGCTGATGGAGCCATTTGTGTTAGAATGCCAGAAGGCTGGTGGTGCTGGTGGAGCCGCTCACAGCTGGACGATGCATTGTGTGTTGTGCCATTGCATGCCTGAGCAGCAGCACCAGCGAGATGAGCCTTGCGATGTTCTGCCACAAGTGGCTCCACTGGCATGATGACCCTCGTTATGCT